AAATAAAATCTGATGGTTTTTGGATTTAATATGACATTTTGGTTTCTGGTAATTATCTATACTATTAAAATTTGTTGGTTATAGCCTTATAGGTCAAATTTAATCAGTAAGTAAACATACGCTGATCCGCATAATTTGTCAGCAGAAATCCTTTATATTTTGGATTTATATAATCTTTATGTAAAAAAATGATGCATTCCTGATTGATGAATAGAATTAAGAATTTGAGGTAGAAGTTGCGGTTTATAAGGACTCGCACTTGAATCAAAAATTAAATTAAATATTTCTTCCTCTTGTTTATCGGTTTTATAAGATTCGTTTGTTTTGATTTTTTATCAAATCCTAAATATCAAAACATGTATATTAAGCGGATCTTTAGGTAAGTTAGTTTGGGCTTTGGATCAGAGCCGGGTCTGTATGTACGTTATGTTTGGATCGAAACAAACCACTTACTGTTGGAAATGGCTTGTAGATTCATTCTAGATTTTTGTCATACACGAGAAAAATTAAAAATAACAAAGATCAATTGATATATTTTTTATATAGATAAATATATTTTATTTTACAAAATTTAATTTGCATGAGATTTAAATTAAATGTAACCGTTTTTTATGTAAATCGAATGTTTGAGATTATCGGTTCTTTCAAACTTATTTGAGTTCAACGGTTAATTTAATTCATGAATCCTTTAAAATCTTCATGTGACAAATATGATTTTTTACAAAATGTCTCCTTTCAATTAATGTATAGATGATTCCTTAGCGAGCACTATAAATTTAGGTAAAGTTGGTATAAAACTTAGTTATAGCCGAGAGGAGAAGTTAAAGATTACAAGATTTTGTGAAATTGACTGTATTGATATCGAAAGGATTACAATCGATAAACTCTCGAAGCTACAATCCAGCTGTAGGACCAAAATTTGGAACACTACGACCTCGGCGATAAAATCACAATAAGAGAAACGTTAAGGGAAGAGACGACAGTGGAGGCGAGACGAATCTCTTTCCTTAACGTTTCTCTTATTGTAATTTTATCGCCGAGGTCGTAGTGTTCCAAATTTTGGTCCTACAGTCTTAACCCTTTGAAATCCGGCTGTTGTTCTATAAACATCAGACAGATTGAATTGCAATAACGGAAACGTTTCTTACAGTAAAGCTTGTATCGCGATCGTCTCACAAACGTTCTCGCTGATTGCTTTCTGTTGGGGAGAAAATCTATCTGTGTAACCGTTTGCAAACGCTTATACATCTATAATTGTTTGCCTCGATAACTAATTTGGAATTGCGATTCTAAAACTGCTTATCGAGACCTTTCTCTACGATTTATTTTGTCAATACAAATTAAATCGTTTCTGATACAAAGTTTGTGTCTCTGTTTTTTCAGAAAATGGCAAACGAAAACGCTAACATAATCAATGTTGCTGAGGGTAACAACTTTGCTGCGGGTAACGAGCCCATCATCAATGGGGCCGCAGTTCAAGAAACTCAAGTGCAGTTTGGTGATTTTCCACTGGTCACTGTTACAGTCCCTGCCCCTGCCACGGTCCCTGCTACTACGCAAACCGCAGCCACCAATCCATTTCCAAAGCTGCAGATTCCATCTGAGAAATCAGATGGTCTTCTT